CCCGCAATCTTCTTGCGTATGTTTAGGTGTTCGTATTATACAAAAAAAAAATTATAGAATGATTTACCTCCTTTGAAAGATTTATATATTTTTTTTTTATTTACAAAAGTCTTCAACTAACGCCTTTTGTAGAGGAGACTCGACCGTTCATGTTTCCATTTATTTAGATAGAATAGTATGAGGTATATTATTGTTAACTCTTATTATTATTCTTCAAGGATTTGCCCCCCATGTGACCTTATGATTAATTATAGAGATATGAACATATTAGAGAAAAGAAGATATAGGAATTAATTCCCAATTGCATCATCACGGGATAGATAAGGGTCAAAATTAGGGGCGTCTCCTGAATTTTTAAACCTCAGCTGAACTGTGAAAAGTAATTTTTTGTATGACGTTTCCCCTCGGAATTTTGTTTTTTTCACTAATGGGCAATAGAAATTAAATATCTATTTTTAAAAATTTCAATTAACTTTAAAACTCGTATTAATGAAGTCGTTATTGAGGGATGTTTTCGAGGCGAAAGCGTGCAAAAGAATAATATGAAAATTGAAACTGTGAACGTACCTTGAAAAAAATACCGAGATAGTATCTCTTCTCCCCGAGTTTCAAGAGGGGCATTGTCCACCTCGAGGGTGCGGCGAGGCCTCCGGCATGTTCATCCACGCAATTGGGACAGTCATCTAGAAGCAAATGAAAAGAAAACATCAAAAACAGGATAAGAGATGAAAGTGAATGTTAACATCCCGCTTAGTTCGAGGAAATAATGGATTAAAGATCGGACAGTTTCATTCAATTTGCGGTAAAAAATTGTGCAAGGATCGTTTGTAGTTGCCAGCCACTTAAGAACTCATTACAATTATTCTCGAGAGAATAAAGATTCTTCTAAAGGTCACGCGGACGTAGTTTTTATCCCCGTCGCAATCCATTCGATGAATTGAGAATAAAAAATTAATTTCCACTTTAACTCACTCATTTGGAACGGACATCTAATTTCCAGTTTAATTATTTATTGTATTCAGCCTATGGAACAGGCTTCGGGAACGACTGTTTCGCTAATTTAATTTGACCAACTGCTTTTCAAACGACAAGCTTTAGGAGCACCAGTTTACGACCAACGTTACCCCCCCCCCCCACACCCCTTTTTGCAATGAAAAAGTTTCAGTCACGGTACAACGGACGTGTTGAAAGTACAAACTTACGTTAAAAGCTGTTGCTTTGAGACAATTTTACGGAGGAATATAAGGAGAAAGATTTTGTTTCTATAGGGTTATTCTCGGTATGTACAAAACATTTTAAATTGAATTTCTCTGTTCTCGTCAGTGGCTAATCAAGGGAGAAGGAAGTAAGTTTTTAATTTGTATGAAATGAATTTGATTCAATTTTCTTCTTTTCAATTTTAAAGTTGGGGAGATTGGTGGAGGGGACAATTCGTTTAGGATAGCTCATATCGTATGAGAATTCAAAGTAAAAATAGAAAATTATAGGAAATCAAACGAATAATCCACAATTTTTTTCTCCATCGATTGGTAATTTTTTTAATAGAAAAAATTATTTGTGACGAAAATTCTTAAAATTATTTTTCAATCATTTTATAAATCCTTTCCTCTAAAAGTGGACATTAAAGTTTTTTCCAATTCAAAACAAATCGTAACGCTTTAAAATGAATCAGATTTACATCTTAAAAGTTTAAAGAATAAAATCAATTCAGAATTTCCTGAAACTTGGGTAAATGGGGTTCAAATAGAACTTCCGATGTTCAACTACAAAAGTAGAAAAAAACATCAACGAAATAAAAATAAAAATGCATTAATTCCTGTGTTCATGGCCTCGATTATTTACATAAACAATTTAGAAGTATCGCCAATAATTTTCATAATTCGTTTTGGATTGGAATGCAACGCGACAGCAGTAGCCGTCGGGTAAGAGTTACTCTAATGAGCGCAGGAGGTCGATGTCACGACACCCACTAGATTCTCAACGGGGAAGGGATGCACGGTTGCATATACTTGTAAATTCAGTGGAATTTGCATTAAAAGATCGATCTCTCAAGCTCAATTGGGCCAAACCAAACGTAAGAATACCGTTAGAATGGACAATCTACTCGAGATGCAATCTAGAAGCTCTATTGAATGCTCTCATGCTTGTTCGTCTGTAAGACTTCTCATTACATTCGCAAATTCACTTGGTCGTCGAATTTATTTGTTTTATCAGGTCACATGGCGCAGACGGAAATGGACCTGAGGGAGTGAAGGCAAATTGCTGGAAAATTCAAATCACTATTTTGCTTTTAGGGCGACTTTTCTATTTCTTTTTAGTTTTCTGCAAAATAATAAAGATCAAAGAAATGAATAAAATTAATTTTATAAAAAACATTCTTACAGTAAATTCACTCGATAAAAGTCCCAATTGGTATTTTAATTAATTTTTCAATTTCTTGATTTTTCACTTATTGTCAGAACATTCCCATTTCGCAGGTATTGAATCCTATCATTGGCTTTGGCTATTACATTCATGCCGAATAAATGAACAAACAAATGAATGAAATTAATTTTAGAAACCATTCCCACAATAAATTAACTCGATAAAAATTCAAATTGTTATTTCCTCGTCGATTCTTTCTACTCCTTCATTTTTCACTCATCATTATAACATTTTTATTTCCGAGATATTGAATCCAATTATTGTCTCTCTCTGTTGCATTGATGCCCAAATACAAATGAATGACCAAATGAACGAAATTAATTTCAAAAAACATTCCCACAGCATTAACTCGCTAAAAATTCCCGTAATGGTTCCCCTCCGTTGTCTCCAATTTAATCATCACTTATTCCAATAAAAGGACAGGGATCACGAGCCACCGAATGCTCCTTATAAAACGTGAACTAGCCACCTACAGGGTGAAACGCAGTGAATGCAATGCATACTGATGCGACAATCAAAGCTTAATCCTATCCTTCACACTGTTAGCAGTCGAAGCCAGACTCCTCCGCCTTTCATGGCCCCATGTGCGCAGTGCTGGATATTTTAAGTAGAGAGACGGGGTAATACCGGGTACATTTCTCTCCGAATTGTGTGGGAGGTGGAACGCTCAGCCGTACGTATAACAGCATGTCGTTGGATCGGTGAGCCCGGTTAACATGACGCACACCGCTCCAGGATAGCCTGGGGCAACAATTTTAAGCCGCCCCCCACTTCCACATCCTCTCGAACTTGGACTTCTGTTCGCCCCGCGGATCAAGAAAAGCCCCGAGTGGAATTTGGAATTGAGCCCGCAATGTGTATGCAATCCGTTTGTATCGACACACCATCGATATACTTCCGTTGTTCGGATCTTGATTGCGCGGGTGCAGTTGACGGCGGAGTGATTTTAAATGATGGGGTGTTTGATGCGGGAAATTAAATATTTATGGAGTGGGAATTGATCGTTTTAGATTTTTTTAAGGCAGTAAATGAGTTTTGTTGTAAACGCGGGGAGAAGTGCGTTTTAATGACGTAAACCTTTTAATTTGAAATTTCTTTCATTCATTTGAATAATATTTTCGGTGGAAATTAATTAATTAGTGAACTGATTATATATTTATTCCAGTGAAAGTGGTTTAATCGTAATATGAATATCTTATTCATTCTGAATGAATCCTCTATCAGAATCAGAACAATTTATTTAATGCGAATAAAAATGAGGTTTCAGTTTAAATAAATCCGTTTATTTGATTAAAAATAAACTCTATTTAATTCAGATGAGCTATATCACTGGGTACATGACATTGAATTGAATTAAATCGATATTTAATTTCAAATGACGATTTTTTTTAAATTCTCTCTCATGAATAAATAATACAAATTATCTCAATTTTCGGAGATTTTTTTTTTACGAGTGGATAAAAATAATTTCGAGTGTGAAAAATCAATAATCAATTAATTATTTTTAGAAAAGAATTATTGAGAATTATTATCTATTAATAATCATTGAGAATTATTAAAAATTCTCAAAATTTTTAATTTTTTTAAATTATTCGTAAAATATTTGCCAACAGTTGAAAATAAAGAGCAAAATGTGACTTCAATTTCAGCAAAATAACAATTAATATCGATTGAATCGATACATTCCAATCATGTTACATTCAACTGAACTCAATAAATCTCAATCAAGCGGGATTTGTCACTTTTTATCCTCACAACTTTGGAAAAAAAATTGGAAACCCATTCCATCGCAATAAAACCGATTCTTCAGCAATTACAGGTCCCTTGAAATTCTGCAATACAGCCACTGTGCACTTCACAATTTTTCTCGCCTCTCCCATTTTTCCCCGGTAGTGTTTTGAACCTCGAATATACTCCCAACTTCTGGGACACGTTGCCTTTGCTTTTCTCCCATTCGCAGCACTTCGGAAAACCCCAGCCGGTCTCTCTGATGCTACGTAAACACTTTGTCGGCGCACTGCAGGTGGCAAGCAGCATTTGCCATTCTGCTTAGTCGAGTGTATGCTCCTTCTGAAGGCACCAAGACGTCAACTCGCGTACAGAGATTTTTTTCTCAGTTTCTTTCAATTTATGAATGCATGCTTTTGCGTATTTTATTTCAGATGAAGACTTCCATACCTCATATTTATTAAATTGATAAGCTTTCATTTCCTTCACATTATTATTGAAAACAATATTAACGTGAAGTATTTTTTTAGATGTAATCAGAAGAGAAATTTTCAGGACATGACTGATTAAAAAATATACTTATTCTATTTTTCTGTGATTTAAGGACGCACGTACGAAAAAATTTCATAGAAAAATATTGCGAATTCGATGGTTAATTCTACTGGATTTTTTTTCAACTTTTAGTGAAAATTATATTAGATTTTGGTCAATTCTGTTGAAGAATTCGTTTACTTTACTGGGGTTTGTTTAAACGGGGTTTAAGGCGTGTTTTTTTAAAATAGTAACTATTTTATAGAAAAAAATCAATAGAATATCATCTTTCTATTTAACTTTTTCAATTGACATTTTTTATAGGACTTCCTCAACATGCGACTGCATTAAATTGCTCTTTAATTGGCCCTAGAGGTTTTTCCCACCATGCAGATAAATAATGTATCTGGATGTTGGGAAAAACCTAAAATTTCTAAAAAATTTATTTTCTAAAAATTAAAAAATTAAAAATTTAAATTTAAAAATCAAAAACCTAAAATTTCTAAAAATTTCTTCATACTTTTAAACACTAGTCATTTGATGTGAGAGGTTGTGAAGTTGTATTCAATTTCAAATGAACACGGAATTTCACTAAATTCCTCATTTATCGTGAAAATTCAAGAAAATTGGATTTTTCAATTAAATTTTCAATATATTAAGAATTCAGAAAAGTTATTTCCTGATTTTAAAAAATTTTCAAGGTTTTCCAGAATTACTGGAGAAGTACTGGAATATTTACGAAATTCACCGACTCGTCAATGAAAAAATACAGAGAAATGGAAAGAAACGTTGTTAAAAATTTCAATTTTTCCCCTGAAACCCCAAGAGTAATTTTCCAACAGAGCAGAATGTACTTGTACAATTCGAAGATCCCAAAAGGATGATATCAAAGATAAAACCCCCAGCCAAGGACCGATACGACCGCATTCAATTGTTCTTTAATTGGCCCAAGAGGTTTTTCCCCTCCCACTTGGCCTCCCAAGCCCCGCGAAAAGAAAAT